GGGGGCTCAAATTGGCTTTTACCTTAAAAACGATTTCTCGTGTTCGATCTTTGTTCTTACATTGTTGTTCGACACGGTGTGCCCGGGGGTTCTCGTGGCCTAGAGGTTAAGGTGTTCACCTTTCGATAAAATTTTCTTCTTCCACATCCTTTCCTGCTCTCTAACAATGTTCTGTAGTCTGCTTTCGTCTCCACATTCTGCCCACACCCCCTGCTCTCCTTTGCCCTCTCCTCTGGGCTCCTGACTCTTTCTGCAGCTTTACTACTGCCTCGCCGTGGCTCCTTCTTACTGCTGTCTTTCAGTCACACCCCTGATCTTATGGTAGGTAAGATCAACACCCAGCCTTCTCAGACAAGGGCGAAAAATCTCGGAGGTCCCGTGTGCAAGTTGCGCACGATGAAGATCCATTGGGGGTCTAAAATCGATAAGGGCAACATTCAAAATTTCTTACCAACTGAAAATGTTTGGTTTGTCCTGCGGGTTCAAATGACCTTATGCAGTTGCGAGCACCGTAAAACACTTACCAAAACAAAACAAAAAACAAAAAAAACAAAAACGAACATTAAATGGAGTGAACAGGGCAGCCCCACTGCTGGGGTCACACCGCAAGTCATCTCTGTGAACTTTGCAGGGGTCATGACTAAAATGATTAAGACCTGGCTCGGATCACGCGTGACGCACTACGTTGTTTATGGAAACGAAAATCCATAATAATTGCACTCGGTAGTTTTACGATACTGATAGCAGATATTCTTTGTTTATTTCCATGTCGTTCATCAGCTTTTCTCCTGCTGGACGCATACGATTTTTTCCAATAACCAGGGCCACTGGGTATAGTTTGGAGGGGATTTTCTTTAGTATCACTTCTCTATTTCGGCTTATTTCAATATTGTTTTTCAACTTCTGATCTTTCAGATTAAAATAAAGCCTTTTAAAACTGTTTTCCTGTTTGACATGTTTGAACCAGGTTCAATTACCTCTTAAACTTGTTAAGATAATAGTGATAGGCCTATAATAATATGTGATCGATTTCTATTCAGTGTCAGGCTTTTTCTCATGACGTAGTTGAATCTTTGATAAAAATATACTGGCGTCTTTTGGACAACAGCTGGCTTATTGTTGTAAACATGTACTGACATCAAAAGGGAAAAAAAAGCAGATACAAAGATAGATATCACAGCAGTAAAAATAGAAGCATAATATCTGTCTCTTTGTCTTTTCTGGTTCCATGTCACCACTAGACATACCGCTACTTTAGAATTACAAAGTTCTATCTGACAAATTTTCACTCTATCAAAATTGTAAGATTTTTCAGAGACGTTATCAAGATATTGCATTCGAAAAAGCTTGACGTGGAGTGAAACTCAAATTTTAACGTCACATTTCTCAAAACTAGGTACTGAGCAGATAGAGCTTTGAAGACATACGCTGAAGCATATAGCCCTGTATGCTCGTTTTTTACACATGTGGAAACGGGTAGAGTGATTCACTTGTGATATTACACCAGTAGATGGATGAGATGCACTTCGTGTTGGTGAACAGCAGGTTCATGTTCTAGCCCCGCCTCCTACCCATTAAAGAACTATTCAACCGCAGGCTCATCCTCTTTTTTCGTTAGAAACAAAATTGAATGTTTTTACACCTCCATCAACATCATTTAATCACTAAAAAGCGGGCATTGATCATTTATGTCAGAGCTAACCCAGGCTGAAAGGGATACGCGATCCCAGAAGAAAGATCGAGATACTCTATAACAGTTATCCCTACACCCATCGTTGGCCGACAAAGCATCTAACATCATCTAACCGCTACAACACAACACAGATAGCGGTCTTTATTGCGTGCTAGATGGAACCGAAAAAAGGAGATGAAAAGAAAGAAGGAGAACATGAGAGTCAGGTCTTTGGACATTTAGAGAAATAGGAATGGAGTATTGATGTCTTTCTGTTGGGATAACCCCCCCCCCCTCCCCGCCCTCGTTAGCTCTAGCAGGCAGGGTCATAGAAACCCGTCCACAAAAGGACCTGAAGCATTCTTCCCAAACTCGCAGCCTGCGGGCCAAATGAGGCCGCAGGACGATATTTTGCGGCCTCTACCTGACATGACGTTTAGACTAAGTGTTATCGCGACCCGCACGTTTTTCCCACACGCATCTCATTACGGAGGAAAATCAGTTGGTAAATTTTGACCTCCAGCGGCCCCCGGGTAATTTGAGCTTGAGACCCGTGATCAAAAGTGTGTCAGTGTGGGCGTAAAGCGTTTACAAGCAATCAGCTCAAGAGACCTTAAGACGGTGATCTGTGCGAACGCTTACCCTTTCAAGTGTCTCGTGCGCCTCAGTTTTACTCAACCAAACGACATCAGATAACGCGAGAAACGTCAGAGTCTCTTAAAGTCAGTTGGATTCGATCGAAATGTCCAGAACCTCGCCTCAATCCTACTGGTAGTAAGACCCGTCGCCAGAAGCGTTATTTCACAGTTACCCTTTGATGTCATATTCCCGTTAAAAAAACCCTTTATCTCATGTCTGAGCATTGCAATGATTCAAACGGCCGTTAAAGAAAAAAATATAAGTCGAGGAATTTTCTCTCACATTTTAAATTATAAATGTTCACACTACTTTTTAGCTTATACATTTTAAATACGACGCTCTTAAAAGGCTTTGACGCGATTTCATGGTTCTAGAAATTTTGTATGCTCACCCCTGGTTCTAATTTCCGGCCCAGAAGCGACATTTCCTGGCTGAAAGCCTTAGTCATCCAGGTGCAAATGCGCACAGATAACGATAAAATTCAGGCTGCTCAAAACGAAATTATCAAACAATCAATCATCGTTGTCCAATAAGAACAAAGTCCAGTTGTTGGAAAGCGTTTTCATTAGAAAGCTGACGAATGACTTTCTTAACGATTATTGTGTCCACTTTCACTGAATAGACCGACGTACATCCCCTCCCACCCAACTCCACCCTGCCCTCACCCCTTTCTTAGCCTCGAATACCCCCCCCTCCCACCTCCCACACGTGCACACTTATTATTATTATATCGATATAAGAAGAGGCTCTCTATTCACATCTACTCATAGGTTCTCTCATTTTCTCACCTGTTTAAACGAATTTTCATTCCTTTTACAAAATATGAAAGAGATTGATCTTGTCGAAGGTGTTCTACTCTCAACTACCAGCTAGTTGTGTGTGAAGACTTAGGGAGAAATCTAATTTGATATAGGTAGCCTCATACCTACTTGGCTCACACGTTGGGCTTCCAATATTATTTCCCTACAACCAATTTAAATATTCAATAACCGGTCATGTTTGTATTTCTCCGGCTCCGCATATGTTTATTTCTGTATAACGTGTGTATGTGTGTGTTTGTGTGCGCGTGTGTGTGTATGTGAGTGTATGTGAGTGTATGTGTGTATGTGTGTGTGTGTGTGTGTGTGTGTGTGTGTGTGTGTGTGTGTGTGTGTGTGTGTGTGTGTGTGTGTGTGTGTGTGTGTGAATATTTATCTTTATATCATATCAGTCTCAGTGTGCCTGTTTTTGACAATCAGAAATTTAAAAAAATACCAAACGAACAAATAAACAGACGAAATCCTTTGACTTCAGAAGCTTTTCTTAAGACACTCGTAAGTGCCTTTTTTCTACTCTTATTTTACAACCACAAAACAGAAAGGGCTTCCATTTCAGTAAAAGAAATGTCTCAGCAATGAACTGTCTTGTTGTTTTATTCCCCACAGAATTGTCGCTCTACTCAAGAACGAATCAAACACTCAGACTGTAGAGTTTGCAATTCCCATTTGAAAGGACAAAACATCAATTGACGACTGACAGCTCTCTGATCTACCAACAACGTCCGAAAACACTGGACTGGAGCATTATAACATGAATTTACCACACTGGTTGTGGAATATTTATTTCAAACGGAGTCTCATTTGGATCCTACTGTTCTGAATGTGGAATCTGAAACCAATTTTGTTATCAGAGAAACGTGTTACGAATTTCCATTGATTTTTGAGACGTAGTCTTGAAACCGGCTATGAAATTGGCTAATTGTGCTTATCTGAATACTCAACAGTTACTCATAAAATTATCTCGACCTTTTTGTCCAACTATTTGATTTGTGGTGTTTTCTAACTTAATGATTTTACTAGGGGGAGAAAATAGCCCAAGATGTTAACTTAGAAAAAGAACATCAGAAACAGAAAGAGAGAGAGAGAGAGAGAGAGAGAGAGAGAGAGAGAGAGAGAGAGAGAGAGAGAGAGAGATAGAGGTAGATACAAAGGTAAACAGTCAAAGAGATGGGAAAAGGTGTAGGCACAAAGACCAACTGGACTGGAAAGGCAAATATATCTTGGTAGGTAACAAAGAAAAAAGATAATAATCAACATAGAGAAAGGTTATTGTGCCAAGATTAAAGGTTAAAAGTTATAGCATTACCCTCTAAGATGGCAGAAGAAAAGAAAGGCACAGACACAATGAAGGAGCTTAGGGATTGGCTGGTGACCAAATGTCGGCTGCCTGGCTTCAGTACTTCCTTCGACAGGGGTGATAACTCTAGGGGAAACGGCCGCAGCGGATCGTGCGACCGCGGAGGTCACAGCGGTGGGATGGTCAACTGCCAACAGCAACAGTTCACCGCCAATGTTGTCACGCCAAGGACGATCCCACAGTTCGTCATTCCAGGCTCCAACGATTCCTCCAGGCAGCCCAGCATCGGCTCCAACGACGATCTGCATAGTCACTCCAGTGGAGATCCCAGCGTCAACTCGTGGTCGGCGTCTACCAGTCCAGGTGTCTCACCTCGCTCGTCTTTCTCAGCCCTTGCGGCTCCGGAAAACACCCTCGTGAGAATCCGGTCCGCCCCAGTCTCTCCGCGTCGAGATTCTCATGGGTTCCTCAGAGACTTCGGCATCAGATCCATGTCTAACTTGCCTCATGTGCAGGTGGACCAAGCAGCCCCGACCACTAACGGCCACCACACCACGAAGAGTTTCAGATCAAACAGTGGAGGCACGTTAGCCACTCTGGGGGCGCCTGTCATTCCCAGCGTTTCTCAGAGAAAAGGGTCTTTGACAATTCCCGGATCAGAGTCCAGACCGAGACACAGTCGCAGAATGCATCGATCCTCACAAGATTTCTACTCCGAAGATCGTAACGTGTCCTCCGATTTGCTCCACGTTAATCACTTAACAGCGGAGTATCGAGGCACATACTCGGGGTTGACAGACAAAAACGAGTACTTGCCCATGAAAGAATCATTCCGGCGCTCAAAGCGGTACTACAGACGGCGTTCCTCATTGGTAACATCAGACGTCATGAGGCTTCTTTACCATCAGCACTCTGCGGACAGCACAAACTCTCCTAACGGCAGTCCATACCACAGTCGAGGCAGAAAGCAGCTAGCACCTATTGATCCGTTACAAGACAAGAGACACTCTTCTCCTGAAGTGAGCGTGACAGAAGCTAAACAAAGCTCGGAAGAAAAACACTCGGGATTAGAAAAGGCCAAATCTAATTCTCTTGCAAATCTCGCTTCTCACGCTGCTGCTACTCAGACTGAGCCTTGCGCTAAGACCGTGACTGAAAGGGGCGATATTAAATTCTCATTCCAGTACTTTCCCGCTACAAAAAGACTTAAGGTCATCATTATACGAGCTGAGGGGCTTCGGTTTCCTGAGAAACCTGATCTTGTTTTGAATCCTTTCATGAAAATCTGCCTGATGCCTGGAAAACTCCAAAAACAAAGCTCGGAGCCGGCTAAACAAACCTGTGCCCCCATGTTAAACAAAGAGTTCTTCTTCACGGACCTGAATCTAGAAGAGATGAAGAACTTACGACTCCGAATCATGGCTTTCCATAAAGCTCATCACCTCAAGTTGCCAGAATACCTTGGTGAGGTCAACGTGCCTTTATCCAACTATGACTTACTGATGGAAAACCGAATGTGGAATGACTTGCATTTCAAGCCCTACAAAAAGGTGAGACTTCTTAGTAGCCTGTGGAGTTTGCATATTATTAAACCATATTAACTGACTTGAAATAATTACCTCTCTGTAACATTTTCTCCTTCTTAAAAGCATCTTAGGTAATTCCTATGTATTTTTATAGGCATGGCCCTATGTGTGTGTTTGTGTGTGTGTGTGTGTGTGTGTGTGTGTGTGTGTGTGTGTGTGTGTGTGT